ACAGGTCACTTTGTAAAGACTAAAGGTCAGTTATATGTATTGTTAGTCAGCCATGGCTGAAAGGTCAATATAATAAAAATAATAAATATATATATAAATGTATAATGTTATTTAGTCTATACATTTATGTTTTAGTGTTATAATTTGTTGTTATTCTAGAAAGAAGGGGCATAATTTTTATTTATTTCTAATTTTATATGGTGGTTATGAGATTTAAACTGTTTAGTCTAAACATTTATGTATTCATGTTATAATTTGTTGTCATTCTAGAAAAAAAGGGGTATAATTTTTATTTATTGCCTAATGTTAGGCAAAAATATAAAGTTTTTTCTTAAGAAATGCTTGATAACTATATGGACATTATAACGATTTCGCATGTGAAATTTGAAAATTTTCTGATGTATAAAAGTATTTTTAATCTTAAAATGAAAATTACTTTGCATGTTGGATACACAAAAAAGAAAAAAAAAGGAATGAGAAAAACATTGCTTAACAAAACTTAAGACCTAATAAAAAATCTGGTATTTGAGCATGAAACGTGTTAGCTTTGATCTATCAATCCGGGGATCCGACATCTGGTATCAAAAGGATGTCTACATAATATAAATCAACTCTCTAATAGCAAAACTGACCAGAACCATCCGAAAAGCAATAACATCCTCGGAACAAGATACAATGATAAAGAGCAAAAAGGACAGAATTGGAACAATCCCCTTACCTCCACTGTGACCCACAATACAGAAGGAGTATGATCAAGGGAGAAATATAGACAACCATAAACATGTGAGGACTTGTATTAATCAGATCTACTCTAAATCCAAAACCTAGCCACTGGTTACTAACATCCACGCTGGAGGAGGATGAGGGCTCCCAATTGAAGGGGTAAACTGCAATTTGACATCTCATTCCTTTGTGAGTGTATATTACATATTGTAGGACAGCACATCATATACACTCGCAGAACACCACCACCCTTCTTCACTGAATAGTTATGGCCATCTTTGTGTGGAACCCATTCAGGTAGGTATGAGGAAGGACTTCTCCAATTTGATTAATCAGTTCACCCAAGCAGCCACTAGAAGGAGCTGATAAGTATGGCTGGCCAACTCCAGTTTGGAATGAGCCAGAAGAAGCCAGTGATCCACATATTGGTGGAATCACAATCCAAGAGCATAAAAATGGTGAGCAAAAGCTCTGACCCCCTGACAGAAAACATAAGGGGTAGAAGCAGGCCCAAAGGGTAGGGTACAAAATGAAAAACTAACCCATGATGGATGAACCGAAGATACGGATGAGACCATGGTGATATAGGGACATGGAGAAAAGCATTGGCAACGTCCATCTTGGTCATCCATAAGCCTAGAGAAAACATCCACTGTAGGGTGAGAAATGACTCCATAGTAAAATGGGACACTCGAACAAAGCAATTGAGGCAGGACAAATCAATGACAGGCCTCTAGTCTCCAGTTTTCTTGGGAACAACAGAGAGTCTAGAATAAAAACCTGATGAATAATGTAGCACAGGTTCGATGGCCTGCTGAGATAGTAGTTCCTGAAATGTCTCTGATAGATGCTGGCTGGTCATGGGATCCCAAGTTGGAGGGAAAGAAATGGGAATAGGAGACATGGGAGGTGGGGGAAAATCGGGATCATGAGTCAACCAATAATCAAAAGTATAAATAACAATGTGACTGTAATAAACTGGGATTAAAGTGAAGTTAAGAAACAGTCTTAATAGAAACTAGAAGTGAAAATAAATGAAGATCACTTCGTGAGTACACTAAAGACAAACGTGAACTTTAAACAAACAAAAGAAAAACTTTTGAGCACAAGCCCTGTCAAACAAGAAGTGATAGTTCGGTAGAGGCTTATAGAGGGAGTCACATGCGTCACGTATGTCAAGAACTTATTGATGGAGAAGTGACGCATGATGATTTACATGAGAGACATATTGGAATCATTCAATTTCAATAGGGGGAGCAGAAGGCTTGTGGAATGCATAAGGAAAAAATTTGCAAAAAGCACTGGATGAGAATAGCTAATCTCATGAGCAGAGGGAAGTACCATATTGGAACCATGTTTTGGTGTATGTGTAATGTTTCTTAATGTTTTTTACATAGTTTGGAGGTGCTGATTACAAATATAGAGGGGGTGCCTCAGCATCCGTGTGTGTTTTGAGATGGTCAAGATGGCACAGAAGATGGCTGCCAAAACTACAAAATGGCAATATCTCAGCTTCTAAGTGTGATAGAGTGGCAATTTTGACATCAGACCTACGTTCATTGGGTCTAATAACTCTAACTTGACATTAAAAGTGCAATAGTATTTTAGCTACTAAAATGAATACTGAGGAATTCTTGAACCTGTATGTCCCACATAAACTATAGGTTGAAAAGTTGCATGGATTTCTTTGTGTGAATGTGACTAAGCCACAGAAGATAAACATATGTCTTCAATCAAAATAATATAGTTTGCACAATGTGTATGCAAAGATAAACTATACTCATGCATGCACTATGAAAAAATAAAATGGATAAATTTTCATATATATTGTTGCTCTGAACAAAACTGGTCAACATTCAGGGCAACAATTTTTCATATTAAACTATAGGCCAATAAGTACCTTAATGCTATCTTATAATTCAAGAAAATTTTCAACAGAACAAACATTTTTCGATATCATAAGAAGCATCATACCAGTCTGGTACACTATAAAATATCATGGTTGGTCAACAAAGATTGTAAGTGAGAGAAACATTATCAAGATTGCTACATACTAGAATCTTAAATACTACATAATGGCTACTTAAAAGTTTATTTGCCAAGAATGGTGCTAAATCTAGCAAAACCAATACCAATCTAACTTATAAAGACTTTAAGACTGTCAAGTTTACAGCATTCACAACACACTGTCACACACATTTATGCTTCAACAGCCTTATCACTTTCAATCTCATAATTGTTATTATTAATGTGTTATTCACAAAATATTCTACAAGAAATCTAACTTGTCACTATTCCACATCAAGTGTTAGAAAGGTTGCTCTATGCCACATTCACAGCAAATCATCTGCAGAATCTCCTGCAGCACTGTTAGTTTTTCTGTTGGCATTCTCATTTGTACAAGTACTTTGGAGAATTAATCCTGTAGTCAACTATATTCAATTAGATCAAGATCTGGGAAATCTTGTTTAAGAGCTGCCTTCCGTATGCAGGTCTGAAAATGAGCACTTTTCACATGTTCTGCAAATACCTCTGATGTCAGTGGGAAATATTTTAACTCTCAATTAGATATGACGTTCTTCTTAGATGTCTTCTTTACCCACATCTCACAATATACATCAGATATCTGTTGAACTTAGAACCATAACTTGAAGCCGCAACTACTATTGCCTCTTTCAAAATGACTTTCACGTTAGCATTCAGATTGTCTAGATTTGATAATATTTCCCTTCAGAAGTGTCTTGATCACTGTAGCTTTGCTGATACTCCACCTGTAGACTGTTGTGTCACATATAAAGAGAGCAAGGACTATCAAAAGCAGTAAAGCATTCTGGGAATGTTTCTTTGCAATCACTCAAATGTCCACATTTGTACAATACATATTCGTTCCCTCCATTGTTAGAATACATGTGGGATCGTTTCTTATGTATAAGTACATGAGAAGAACAAATACATCACTGTCGTAAGGTAACAGTAGTTGCACAATAACATCAGCCTCTTTGTGACTTGTTCCCATGTCCTCCCTCTGTATCACACATCCATTACTAACTTCTGTTTTTATGATGTACCAACCTGGTATGATGTTGCTTATAATACGGAAAACTTTTGTTCTGTTGATAGTTTCCTTGAATTATAAGGTATTTATTTACCTACAATATAATATGAAACATTGTTGCTATGAATGTTGACCAGTTTTGTCCAGAACAACATTGTATGTGAAAATTTATCCTTTTTCCTTTGTTTAATAACACATGCAAAAATTGTTTATTATTGCATTATGCATATTATATTACTTTGAGTGAAAGTGTATGTTTGTATTTTGTGGCTTAGTTAGACTTAAGCAAAGACATTTATGCATCTCTTCATCCTTCAGTTAATGTCAATATACACATTCACGATTCCTCAGTAGTCACTTTAGTAGTTACAGTACCATTTTTAAATGACATTATAAACAATATTGCCCTTCTAATGTCAAATTCAAGTTCTTAGACCCTATAAAGCTAGGTTTGGACATCAAAATTGTTAATCTAACACTTTTAAAAGCTGATATATTACCATTTTTAGTTTGGACAGCCATTTTGGACACTGTCTTAAATATCTCAAAACCCTCAAGGATTCTGAGGTGGCACCCTCCACATTCATAATCAGCACCCTCAAATTATGTAAGAACTATAAAAAAAACATTACACATACACCAAAACAATGTTCAGAACAAAATTAGCGTTTAGCAACTGGGCCACATGTGTCTCTTCCTTTATTTATAGTCACTACCATTACATTCACACATTAAATCTCCAGTTTTGTGGATCAACTCACCCAAATGTCTTTTGTTTTTTATATAGTTACTGTCATTCTATTCATACATTAAATCTTCCAAATCTCCTGTTTTGTGGATCAACTCACCCACATGTCTCATCTTTTATTTCCAGTCATTGGCATTATATTCAATCTTTCAATTCCCATAAGATAATTACTTCATAAATTAAGAATACATACGATATAACACTAGCATCAGAATTAACATTAAAGCAATTGTACACATAATCAGGAAATGATTGATGATACAGATTTCTACAAGTCTATTATGTCACATACCTTGTCTTGAAGAATTTATGCGTCTCAAGTTATGCAGCTCCTCTTCCACAATAATTTGTAGATCTCGCCAGTAATCAAGATTTTTCCCATTTTCTAATTCCATGTAAACTTTTATGTCTTCCTGCAGATCCTCTAAGTCTCCTAACTTTAACCCCTAGAACATTCAAATTCTATAGTTTAATGGGTGTGAAAAAAAAATATATATATATAATATTGATTAAAACCCCAAAGCTTCCTAACTTACATTAATAAATAGAAAACAGAAAGAAGCTGACTTGTTCACAGATTTTGTCTGTTAGTATACAGGGTAACCACATTCTTTCAAGTCACCCTCTACCAACTATCCAAGCAAAATTCAGGATTTTCCTAACCTTTCTCAAGCACATAATATACATTGATGTTTCAACTTTTTCTCACAATTCTTCCTAATTAACATCACTTTAGCTTATAATCTGGTCATACATGACAATAAATACTTCAGAACATACATACTTCAGAATACAGTACTATAAACAAAGATCTTAAAACCAGGACATTGCAACTTGATGACAGACAATATATAAGTGTACACTTTTATTAACAAAAGAATATTCAACCTAATGTATTAAATAAATCAGACAATTATTACCAAATAAAATAGTACAAAGTGACTGTCAAAGATTATTTTTAAGAATATATCAATAATTGGAACAGCTAAGCAGTCAATACAGGATGAAAAAAACAAAGAAGTCCTACAATTTTCCTTGGTTTTTGACCCTAATCCCTTTTACAAATTCCCTGACTTTTCTAGATTTGTGGCTACCCTGGTTTGCTAAGCTAAGAACAAATATTGATAAATGAACTGGTTTTGAAAAATGTACAAATTATTCAAGGCAACGAAAATCAGTGTCATTTGACATTTATAACATCCAGTTAAAATAAAATTCTCATAAGACTACTATTTCAAATATTGCTACAAATGCTGCTAGATTGTTTGTATCCTCATTATTTTGTACCTTAGCTGTAATAATCAATGTATTCTTTAATTATTCAAAGCATTACAAATATATTATGTGAAGTATACACTTTTAGTTAATAACCACAGTTACATATTTAAATTGTCTTGTATGTCTTCATTATATCACTGCTTCATAATGTAAAAGAAAATAACAACTTTCAAGGCATTCTGTATTATTATTTCTAACCAATTATTCTTAATGCAAAAGAATCAACATACATTTAAATACACATATGGTTCATGCATCTCAACAGTGAAATCTTCCTCTTCAGCACTTATATATCTGGCTAGAAGATCAATGGGTTTTGCTATGAAAGAGATGAATATTTTAAACAAACAAAACAACAAATATTAAAATGTAAAGATTTCCTACAATGAATAAATTATGTGTGCATGTTTACTTTTTGGATTCTCAAAATTAACATCCATACAATCATAAAAAAACTTGCATAGATTTTACAAAGCAAAATAATAAGATATCCATCTCAATAACCATAAAAATGTTTTTTCTTATAATTTAAGGAAAGTTCTTTCTAAACTATTATTACATTTTTACACACATACAGTTTTGAAAATAAATTACTGCAACAAGTATGCAATATGAGTCAACTTGAGAGGTTAAAATGTCTACAATGATGAACAGATGACTACCAACACCTACAAGTGTTGCTGAAATATATATCATTTCAAAAGAGATGAAAGAATATTTATTTAGTGATTGATCTCAAATATCAAGATACTGTTGTTTGAGGGAATGTGGTATTGTTATCTTACAGCAGTTATTGTAATACACTATCATTTTACCATGATATAGGCCTACATATTTTTGACAACATTTTCAAATCTATATCATGTAACACCAATGGAGACAATAGGCTTATTTATAGAAATAAAAAGACTTGAAAAAAATTGTGTGAAGACTATTGTTTGTGTGTGTGTGTGTGATTCTTAAAAAGCATAAGAAAATTCAACTGGGATCTTACTTACATCAAGAGCACATATAAACTATAGTATATTATATTCCCTTATCTAGTTTAAGTGTTTTAATACTTTCACATCTTTGTTTTTGTGCACTACATTTCATTTATTTATCTTGCAATAATTTGTTCTTAAACTCTTTCACTGAACATGTCACGAGATTTTTAGTGAGTTACATTCAAAATTTATTTAAACCTCTTTTTGTTTATGGTATACCAATAAAAATGTAACTAATAATCCATATCTTAATAATATATAAATTTTAAGTTCTTAATTTTATAAGGTAATATTAAAAAATAATCCTTAATTTCCTCTAGTGTGAGAATTGTGACATTTTCTCTCTAGGCATCCCCTCTTCTCTAATTTATTTATCACCCCTCCAAGAAGTACAAAGTTTGACATAAATTATTCAGTACAATATCATCATCACTCAAGTGAAGCATAATTTTTATAGCCTTCAATCTTATTTGGCTACAGAGCCATCACATAGAAAATCAGACCCCTCTAACCATGCCCACCTGTCACATCCTCTCTTTCAGAAGTTGCCAATGGCTCTCACTGATGTTCAATACTATATTATGCATAGCCAATAGAAAGCCAAGGTTTTCATGACATAATATATTACAATGTTTTCTGTAAAGAGAATTGTCAATTTTGTTTTCAGTTCAAGCTTCATTCTCACAGGAAGCACATCGACTAGCTTAGATGAATTTGTAACAGCTCTTGTCACATAGCTGGAAAGCCAGAAAAATTGTGATAGTTATGGGCCTTAGTTTGCTTTTTAAGTGTTATTTTTCTATGTTCTTTGGTACATTATTTAATTAAATAGAAAATTATTTAGTGCAGCACTACTATTAGTATAAAAAAAGTAGGGTTAAGTGTCATTGACAGTCGACAGCAAAAAAAGGAAGGCCCAGTTAAGTACTTTGTTTTTTGTTTTAATGTGTATTCTTTGTTTGTTATTATAAAAGTAACTATAAATTGTAAAAATACAAAACTTTTTAAGTTACTTAAGGTTAGATTAGGTAAAATAAATAATAATAAGGTAAGCTCATGAGCAGCTCGTGCATAATATAATTTGATAGCGTAAAGTGAGCTGCACGTTCACCAAGTGATTTACAACTTATAATTTGTCAAAGGGCAATAAAACATTCAAATTTAAGTATAAACAGATGTATACTGTTACAAGTTTAAAGCTATTTAGGATAAACAAATGTAGTTTCATGTTACAATTTGAAGTCATTCTAGAAAGAAAAAAAGGGTAATTTAGATTTATTTTGATTGTTTTTTTGGTGGTTACGAAGTCAGCGAAATTGCCCAACCTTGTATAGAGTTAGGGTAGAGAGAATAACAGATAAAATATAAAATTTTACCCCCACCCCAAAAAAAATGTTTGAAATATATTTAGGAAGTTTTGGAGATTACGCAAATGGAATTTGAAATTTTTGAGATGAAAAAGTACTTTTATTCTTAGCAAATTACAGCAAGCAAGTACAAACTTCGTAAGTAGAAGAGATCATTGTTTTCTATATATTTGTTTCTTTACTGTTCTACATCTTAAGTATAATATAATAATATATAAACTTATGTAACGTATTATAACCAAAATATGATTGTATTCTACAAAATACTGATCCACTAGAAGAAAGCTAAGACAGTTATACTTTGTAAAGGCCAGTTTTATATTATTGGATACAGTAACACAAGTGCATGTGTGCTGCTTCATTGCAACTTCTGTAATGCTAGTCAGACACAGCTGAAAGGTCAATAAAATAAAAATAATAAATATATAGACGTATAATGTTATGAAGTTTAAGCTGTTTAGAATAAAATTTGTGGTTTTGTATTATAATTTGTAATCATTCTAGAATGAAAAAAGCATAATTTATATCTACTTCCTAATTTTTATGGTGGTTACGAGGTCAGTCAAATAGTGAAAACAACAGAAAAAGTATAAAGTTTTTCTAAAAAAAAACATTTGATAATTATCTGGAGGTTATAGAAATTTCACATGTGAAATTTGATAATTTTCTGATGCATTAAAGTATTCTTAATCTTAAAATCAAAATTACATTGCATGTTGCATATTCAAGATTTAAAAAAAAATGCACAAGCAAATCATTAGTTAAAAAATCTTAAAACTTAATTTGAAATCTGATATTTTGTATACAAAGGCCTTTTAATGTTTACTGATAATCTGCAAAATTTCATAAGGATATATGTACATTTTAAAAAGTTACAGTATAACTGCTTTATGGTTACTTTGGGGGATACAGGCTGGGTGGAAACCGCCCACCCTTAGTAAAGGGGTTAATCTTGCAAGCAGTCTTAAGGTTAGGAGTAATGCTTCACAAAATAAACTCTACTGCATTTCTGTCTTTCATAATGAAGTAAAACTTTTCTAGAATGATATTATCTTAAAAGTTATGAACACTCAAACGAAAATGAATATAACAGAAAAGTAAAATGTACTTTTTTGGAAATTTCTTGCTAACTGAAAAAAAAAAGAAAGTTTAAAACGTCATACACATATGATATGTTAAAATTCTTAATTTTTCACTGGTATTTCTTGTAAACTTTTACTTTAAAAATCAATTTCACACCCATTTACCTTTAATGACTGAATTAATGGTCAATACTTTACACAATAACTGTGAAATACATGTACATTCAACAGACATAACGTTTACAAACATTTATAAAGAAACTTTCTTACCTCGACCATCGTGAATTCTAATCTTTGAACGTAGTTTAGCTTGCTGTAGATGGAACTATTTCAAAGACATTGAAAAATAAATGTTAATCATGTGATCAACAGTTTAATTTCAAAACTAAAGTATTTCTATTCATAACTTGACCAAAAGACTCCACTGTATACTGTTATCCTATATGGATTCACAATTTATAAAGATTTCAAAGAAAAATATAATTTTGGTCTGAAAAAACCATAATCTGAAAGAAATTTTTACAAAAAAAAAGACCTGACTAGTGGATACTTAAATATTAAACAATCATTCCCAGGTAATATGTTATATGACAACATTGATTCATTCTATCAACAGTTAAACA